ACATTCGACGAGAATTATTTAGATTGAATATAGGTATTCTCATAAGCTTCATTACATTTAGTTACATGTTTTAGATTTTCTGAAAGATTATTTTTTATATATGTTAGAATAAATATTTCAATTTATTTTGAAAAAATATATTTAATATACAAAAATTATTTTTTATAAGTGTGAATTCATAAGTTTCATTATATTTAGTCTGTACATTCAGATTCTTTTGAAAAATATATTTATCGTATAAAATTTATAAACCGATGAGAATAATACTATTGACAAAAACTCTTATATCACTAGATTTTTTCTTGTAAAATATATTGTCTTTTTGAAAAAGAAAACGGAGCGATATATCAATCAAAATATGAAATTCCGATTTAAGAACAAAACAATAAAACAAGAAGTCACCCAATCAAGAACAAAACAACAATGCAAATAGAAATTGCTAGAAAACACTATTTATTTCTTGCTTTTATTAAATCGCGAAGATAGAGTTGTTACTTATTTCTCATTTATTCACGAGATAGAACCCAAGAATAGAAAAGTGATACGTGGCAAAATAATAGTGGTGTAAGTGGGACCCACAAGTTCAAACGTTAAACAGTAAAAGAGCCTCTCACATGTATGACCTGGCATTGTCTCACATTATTTTAAAATTAAATTTTTCTCAACAGTTAATATTCTTTTAGACAACAATGTATTAATCAACATAAACTCGCCACGTGTCCCTAACTTTTTTTAGTATAAATTTACAACCTCATCTTCATATGTTTCTTGCCACATAAAAAAAACACACACACACACAAAAAAAGTAGTACAATAACATTAAAGTTTTTTTTTTTTTGTAAAATTTTAGTTATTTTTTCCTTCAAATGGAGAAAATATTTCTTTTACTATGTCTTATTATTATTATTATTACTAGTAATTCTATCAATGTTGATGCAAGACATCACATTTCCAAGAAAACAAAGAGCAAAAAAGTTATTAGTCATAATAATAATGCTCCTAGTCCTATCGAAGGTAGCGTAAACGAACCATCACCATCACCATTACCATCATCATCACCAGTTTCTTCTCCTAGTAGTAATGTAGTACCGTCCGATCCGAGTTACGGAGGGGCCCCCACTTTGGACCCGGAAGAGGACTGCATTTTCGATGTCATGGAATATGGAGCCGTCGGTGACGGCTCCACGGATGACACCGAAGCGTTTGTCGCGGCTTGGAAAGCCGCGTGTCAAGTTGAGTCCGCGGTGCTATTAGCTCCCGCGGACCGTATTTTTATGATCACTTCCACTATTTTCTATGGTCCTTGCAAGCCCGGACTCGAATTTCGCGTACGTATATATTTCTTTTATTTCAATTTATACGATAAATATTACGCTTCGAATTGTGTTTGATTAATTTTTTTTTTTTTTTGGGTGAAATAGGTAAATGGGGTGTTAATGACACCAGAAGGACCAGATTGTTGGCCTAAAAAAGATAGTAAAAGGCAATGGATTGTGTTTTATAAACTTGATAATATGACTTTTAGTGGGACTGGTACTATTGAAGGTAATGGTGAAAAATGGTGGGAACTCCCTTGCAAACCTCATAGGGTAAGTCACTTTTTTTGTTTTTTCGATTTTCGATTATCTTATTATCTTGTTGTTGTTTCTGCTTATGTCTTTTATATCGTTTTGTTGAAACGAGGGTGTAATGAAAACAATTGTTATTATCATTTAAGATAAGAATAAGGTTAGCATATACATACTTTATCGTGCGTAAACTCCTTCTAGTATTTTGTTGATGTTGTTGTTTTAAAGAGTCTCGTGAGTGTCCTTCTATCTGTCTCCGTCTCTATTTTCTAATTGGATTATTTGTTTAGAAATAGGATTTATTTGATGTATAGTTTCATTTTTGGTCTAATTTTAATTGAATTTTAAATTATTTATTTATCGTAACAGAAACATTTATGACTTATTTTAAGTAGTAACTTATTTTTTGTATTAGATAAAATATATAAACCACATTAATTGAGACAAGTGAAAATATCATTTATTAGAGATCAAGAATCAAGTTATTAAATAGTGTTATGTAAAATTATCTTACAAAATAAAAAATGTCATTTATTAGAGATTAATTATCAAAGTTATTAAAAACTAGTGTTTATACATGTACAATTGTCTTAGTGTTACTTACAATTATTTACGTAAATATTCTTTTTATATTACGATCAGTGTACAAAACTTAAACTCGAACAAATATACTCGTATCAATAAGCATAAAGTCAGAGAATTCTCGTGAATATATGTATAGTAATCAGTACAATTTCTTTTGTCAAATTTCAGGGACCTAATGGCTCAACTTTACCTGGACCATGTGACAGTCCTTCTGTAAGTTACCTTCACACTTCATTTCTACGAGTTCGATAAAATTCAATTGTAGTGATTTTTATATTTTTGACAGATGATAAGATTTTTCATGAGCTCAAATTTGACGGTGCGAGGTTTAAGAATACAAAATAGTCCTATGTTTCACATGAAATTCGATGGATGCGAAGGAGTATTGATAGACCAATTATCAATTTCTTCGCCTAAGCTTAGTCCAAACACTGACGGAATTCATATCGAGGACACCAAGTCTGTAGGAATTTACAACTCCGTCATAGCTAATGGTACAAAATGAACCTTCAACGTTTATAATCTGATTCATTTTTTCTTAAATTTTATGTTGAGTTAAACAATTAGACGAAACGAGATAATAATAATATAATGTATGATTGTGTCAGGGGATGATTGCATATCAATAGGGCCTGGTTGTTCAAATGTTGAGATTGAAGCAGTCACATGTGGGCCTAGTCACGGGATCAGGTACTTTATGTTTCTATTTATTTTTCGAAGTACTCAAATTCTATAAATAAACTTATAATATAAAGTATAAATAAATAAATAAAGTATACAAAAAGCTGAATCTTTATTTTTCTAATTAGTGTAATAAGGACAAGATCTATCTTTTTCTTTTACAATCTTCTTAATTAATCATGTCAAACCTATCTTAGAATAAATCAAATATTTTTCATCTGGTGTTTGGTAGCCACTTTGAAATCCGATAAATTTTCGTTTACCTTCATAAGGTAGGGATATGGTGGTGTGCTAACCATCCTCCTCATACCGCACTTGTGAAATTACATTGAGTATATTGTTGTGTATGCAGTATTGGGAGCCTAGGGGTGCACAATAGCCAGGCATGTGTGTCGAACATAACGGTCCGTAACGCCATTATTCGCGATTCGGACAACGGAGTTCGGATCAAGACATGGCAAGGAGGTTCAGGATCAGTAACAGGGCTATCATTTGACACAATTCAGATGGAAAATGTGCGGAACTGCATCATCATAGACCAATACTATTGCCTCTCAAAAGGCTGTCGGAACGAGACGTCCGCTGTAAGCGTGGGCGACATCTCGTACCGGAGCATCAAGGGCACCTACGACGTAAGGAGCGCCCCCATACACTTTGCGTGTAGTGACACTGTAGCCTGCACTAATATTACAATGTCTGAAGTTGAACTCTTACCACATGAAGGCGAGCTCATGGAAGATCCTTTCTGCTGGAACGCTTATGGAATTCAGCAGACGTTAACGATTCCTCCCATTGACTGCTTGCAAGATGGAATGCCACTGGCAATTGGAGAGACTGTTGACTATTCCTGCAGTATCTGATGATCGATCGATCGAGGAGTTCAAAAATGTTAGTTATAGTTTTATGTAAATGTTTACTTACTAGGCTGGTTTCTATCTTCACTTATACTATTTTGTACTAGCAGATATGGTCTATTTTAATGACCTTTTGTCTGTACTAGAGGATGATATGTGTACTAATAAAATGTTTAGTTTGAAGAGCTTCTCTATCAACAACTAAGAACAGTGTAGCACGCAGAGTGGACACATATAAAGGGAATAAGATGAAAGAAAGAAACAACCAAATGCAGAGAGAGTTAAGATTTACCGCAGAGATATGCTCCCGTTATCTGTAAGGACGAAAAATACCAAATCTAACAGTTGAAATTACAAGGATAAGGTTTAGTTTCATACTCGCAGTGAAAAAAATTGGATGATGACATTGCAAGTGCCTGGCGGAAAGTAATCACCTTGCTTTACGTTGCCCTTCCAAGACATCTCGGCAGGGGCCAGTGTAACAGTTCAGACAGAATGCTGGTTGGGACTTTGATAGTCAATAAGGAAGGAAAAACAGCAGGCTATTTCCCCTTTTAAAAGTCATTGGCAATGAACATGAACAAAAGCATCAAATTCAAATCTTAATGTCTTTAATAGAGGGAAAAAGTAGCTAGAATTATCACAACCACAAAGCTAGCAACAACAACAACAACATACCCTGCGTAATCCCACAAATGATGTCTGGGGAGGGTAGAGTATACGCAAACCATACCCCAACCTTGGGGAGGTAGAGGTTGTTTTCAATAGACCCTCGGCTCAAGGAAAAGCATATCAAATCAGATATTAAAGAAAGCATGACAAAGCATTCTGAAAAAAAGGAATAGTAGCTATAACAAGATAGTGAAACAGTCGAAGAACAAGAGATTGTATATAGTATAAGAAATCAAAGGACAAGAATCTACATGAGAAATACTACCACAACAACAATGCTAGCTTTTGACAAAAAAAAATCATCAATAGAGCTAAGAATTGGGGCTCACAAAAATAAAAGTTAAATTAATTAGAAAATCAGACTTAAGAGGGATCCTCGCAATGCTTTACAAACTATCATATATTTCTTCCCTTGAAGAGTTCATCTTTCTTTTATGGTTGAACATTCATCATCGATCATTTTATCAGACTTAAGAGGGCTCCTTGGCATCGTTTTGATGATGATCAGCGGTAATCATACCTTTTCTTCCATTTGAAGAGCTCATTATGTTGAAGAAAATTTATCAGCAAGAGGGATGGATGCTGGAAAACTGGATGAAAGAAACTGTGACAAACCATCCGTGTCTGTTAATAACAGAAAATCAGAATTAGTGGAAATGTGCCACAGAGACATGAAGGTTAGCAATCAATGGCTCATTTAGGATGACTCATATAGTAATTGGTAAATGTCAAATAGTATAACACTGGGATAAGCCCTAAACTGAAAATGCAACACACTGCAAATTAGAAAATAACATAGCTACGTAGCTTTAACATATACTACAAGTGGTTTTGTCTAACTCAAATTTAAAATTGTCAGGTAAATGACTCGAAGCCTTTTAATGAAATTATTTTTGAAGTTATAAGTAGCACTCTAGCAGTACAGTGATGTTACTGTTTTATACACTAGGAGCGATAATGTTATATTGGATTTGATGCACTTGAGCCTAAAGTCTTTCGGAAACAGCCTCTCAACCTCCATGAGGTAATCTTAAGGTTTGCGCATGATCTACCCCTCAAGAATCACTTCATGGGATTTCACTGGGTCTGTTGTTGTTGTTGTTGGAGCGATAATGTTATACCTTGTTGATCACCAATCTGTATATTCAAAAGCTAACTCTTCATACAGCACTTGGAACTTATCATCTGCCTTCTAAAAGGAAAACCGTGCATTTTAGTCGCTGAAAATCTCAAAAGATGTCATCTTCGGTGCCTTGCTTTTTAGCTGTCGTACATAGAAATAACTTTTGAAACAAACAAAAAGAGGAGGAAAACTAAGGTTTCTGTTGTTCCATAGTTATTTCATCTTTGCAGTTAAAAAGTTATGTTTGTTGGCGCTAAACAAATCCCACTTCAAATACTTCTCCGATTATAACAACTTAATGATCATTATTCTTCTTACTACAAATGCCAGCAGCACTCTTCCTTTCCCAAGGGTAAACTTTCTTTTTCATTTCAAGAAGCATACCTCTATTGTCACAGCTAATGCCTTATTAAATTGAGCTTATTTACGTATATGATCAATCGTTATAATTTATAAAGACTAGCCATACTCTATCCGTAAATTCTGAACTACAGAAGCAATGCACAACCATATAAAAGGAAAAATTAACAAAAATACGAGAGACAGAGTGATAGTTAAACTTTAATGTAGAGATATGTTCCATTATCTATGGCCAAATAACGTTTCATTTCGCTCCATTTTGAACTCTTCCGTTTCCCATTCACACCAATCCAAATTCAACAGAAATTGCAAAGGATAAGGTTTGGCTTAATACTCACATTTAAAAAAATGAAAGATGAAATCGCAGGCGTCTGAAGGAGAGATCATCTGTTTCTCAAGCTTGTCACGCAACCCGTAAGTTATAGCATGCAACTCCTTGCCTTTAAAATCTTCACTCCCATCGAATTTTTTTTGAATATAATCAAGCTCTTCTATTAGAGTTTTTTCACCCCAGTCCTTTGAACAATGCATGTACGCGTCTCTAACAAATCCAAACATTTCACTAGAATGACCACAACCAAGACAGTGAAATTGCATCTCAGTTGTTCCAGATGGCCCATTGATACTTGGACCTGGCTTTATAAGATTTCTCTGAACAGAGCAGACAGCATGACACCAGTGTGAACATCGGTCACAGCCTACCCAACGACAAGTATTAGTGGCATAATCGAAGTTAGAACATACTAAACACATGCATACAGAGCAGAATCCGTTGTTTCTTGAACAAATTTTGCATTTACAATCATCAGCAGGTAACACACTTTTGCAGCGTATGTTCCGACACCTTTCAAGAGAAAAAATCTCAATCAATTCAGCAACTTGAATGTGGTTTTCCAAAGATAAGAAACTTCTATGACCCATTTTTATGGCAACAAAAATTTGTAGTTGAGTCGTATTACACTCTAAGAGAGTCGCAACATTAAGGTCAGATCTCCCATGAAGCATATTCTGAAGGCTGACCAAAAGGTCTTTCTTCTCAGGATTTGCAATTAGACTTCTCAAGTAATCCTTTGTTGATTCAACCGTTTCATCAGGAAGCTCCTGCACAATCTGAGCCATAAGAGGAACAGACTGTGAAACTATCTCCGCAAGGATTCTCTCAGGCTGAGAAAATTGGAATGCTCTTCCTACTTCCATATTCCCTCTAACTCTCGAATCACCTGTTGGTCTGGCAGGAAACTCGAATGAGAAATACGAATTGCTATCCGAGCTACTGATCCTATCAACGTCATTATCCTTATTGACCTGCATTCTACAACTTAAAGCGAAATTACTTCCACCAGGATGAGCTGGTAATGTACAATCTCCTGCTTCAACTGGTCTAAACTTGCTAAAACCTGACCAATTAGCTCCCTCCCCGGAATACTCACTATCCTCTTTTGAACTCAGTGTAAGTGAGTAGCTAAGGTTGTGGGAAAACGGATGGGAATAACACGACGACAAGGACCCATTCCTGAAATACCCAATCCTTGTGTTGTTATTTGATGGATCCACTGATTGTAAACTCCTACTAGTGCTAGGGCAAGCTAAAGAAAGATCAAAGATTCCATCTTTTAGCTTCTTTTCTCTAATTTCTACCTGAATCTCCTCATTCTCAGCTACCCTTTTAGAGGAAAGATCAAAGATTCCATCTTTTGATATCTTTTCTCTAATTTCTACCTGAATCTCCTCATTTTCAGCTACCCTTTCAGAGGAATTCCCTTTATACTCATTTAACTGAAGAAAATTCCTATCTACCAATATGTTGTTTTCCTCATTTTGATCATCAAAAACAATTTTTTCTTTACCCTTATAACTAACCATATTTCCCCTCAAAGTAATTCAAGAAATTCTAGTCAAAAACTTGTTTACCTGGAAAACCCAGTTTGGAATTTTGAAAGCAACCAGTCCTTAGCAAGCCAATTTTGCATTGAGATGCCAAGAAATTGAACACCCTTTTCCTGAAATCCTCCCAAATCTATTCTCAGTGTAGCTAAAAGTTTCTTCAGTTCATACAGAAAGTTTATCAAAAAGGGACGAGCTAGTTTGTCAATAAGGCAGAATTTTTTCGAGTTTTAAAAATTAAATAGAATTTAGAATTGACTAATAATATATATTAGGTTAAAAAATATTTTTAAATTTTTAATTTTTATATTTTAATCCAATAACTGTAGCAATTGTAGGGACAACTTCTTTAGTCGTACCACAACTTCAATAGCTGTTTAAGCAACCTTAGAAGTTGTTTAGATAACTTCAGTAATTGTCCAGACAACTACAAAAAATTATTATTAATTTAATTCTTTTATTAATATTAAAAATAATTGTTATTATTTTTAATTCTTTAAAGTTGTTTATTATTGCTCACGAATATCATGCATAGCAAATTTTGAATAAGAGTATCTAAAAGAAAAAAAGATTTTGTGTTTAAATAATGTTCATTTTAGATATTTGCCTTTTTTTTAACCTTCATATTCCTTTTGTTTATACTTCCCATGTTCTTATTTATATGTCTTTAACTCTTTTTAAAAATAAATAATCCTCTTATTTATATGTCTTTAACTCTTTTTAAAAATAAATAATCCTTAGTATTTATCATTTCACAAAATCAATATAAATATCGTTATTTTTACTATTTTACCGTCCTTCAATTTTTAAAAATAATATAATTTTAAAATATTCGATACAGATGCGACCACATTTCCCTTGCCTCCTCTGCAAATGCAACAATGTCGTAAATATGTAACATCTAACACTATGTAACTAACCAAAGTTCACAAAAAAAAAAAAAAAAGATCATCGCCAAATTGAATAAACAATAGAATTCCAAATAGTACTAAACATCAACAAAACAAACTAAAAATATATATATATATATATATATATATATATATATATATATATAAAATATACATACCCCATCATGATTCATGAAAAATATACATAATAGTAAATACTAAAAATCCCATTTACCTCTCTTTTCTCTTTTGAATTCTCTATTCACTGTGAAAAATCACCATATCTTCAATCAAAGTGGACACAAGATATCAACAAGAAGCTACAATATCCTTCTCTCTTATTTCGCGGACGTATCTTCCCTCCTCGATTGCCTTTGGTGGTGTCGTTTGTTCTGATGACGAGGGACACCACCAAAGGTCATAGGGTCGAATCCTCGGAGGCGATTAGCTTCCTTAGGATCAATCACACATTCAGATTGAGGAACATTGTATCGTGTCCGGTCATAGCAATATGAATATTGCAAGTACTTGTTTCGAAACCTCTCCATTTTTCGCCTTTGGTCAGGGGATATTCTAGTTGGGATGGATGCAGAATCCAGGACTATATCACACTTGGGAGACAATTCAATTGGATCAACACCACATCCATGGAGGACGAAATCGGAGAACTTCGCGACGTAAGGGGCATATTTGTAATTGACTTTGTATTTACCCCCATTAGTAGCCCAACTAGAGCCATCCCATATTGTACCATATAAAGACATTGGCTTAGAAGGGAAGTCCTCACTCATTGCTTGTGTTCTCTTGATCTCTCTTATAGGTACATTATCTACATAAAAGCTGCAAAAAAAATGCACAAAAACAAACAAAGTATAATCAATTGTTGAATAACAACAACAACATGTCCATAGCGTAGTCTCACAAAATAGGGTCTGGAGAAGGTAGAGTGTACACAGACTTGACCTATCCGTACTGTTATGTCATTTTACTAAGATGTATAAGGTTAGAATATAAGTTGATCAAACAAAAAGGAAAAAAAAAAAAACTCCATCTTTAGTACCTCTTGAACAAGGGATGACATTTGCATAGAGGCGAATCAAGAATTTATCTACTTTTGAAATTACGAGTTCAAATTATAAAATTTATTTTTTCCACATGTATATTGTGTTGAAAATACTAGATTCAGTTGAACGTGTAGCTACGAAGCTACATCTGTCACTAACACTGAATGAAGAACAGGACAAATCATTTCCTGCAAAGCACTTGACCAAAATCAAGAAAAGCATAAACGGTCTGGTCTAGTAGTCAATGAACTAAAAAAGGTTATGAAAGACTACGATTTCAATCTCAATATAGATAATAAAGATGTTCGGTAAATTTCCCTCATCCACTTAAGTTTTGGGCAAACTTATCTGAAGTACTTATACTGGTGAGAGATAACATATATTTTATGATTAATGACAGATTGACGTGTGTGAAAGCTGACCCAAAACCGTTTTCTTTTAAAAGGGGAGGTTGAATTAGGTACTTACATGATGTGGCTGTCAGTCCAAAGAATTGTATATGTATGAAAATCTTCAGTTGGATCAAACCAAAGTCCATATCTTTCTTCTCTACCAACATTTGTGCTACCATTTCCATAAATATTAGTTTGAATCCTCCAATTTTTTGCTCTAATATTTCCCAAAAACTCAAAGTCAATTTCATCATGATTCTTCTCAAACATGTCTCCATTTGACATCTGTCAATAGTAACCCCAAAAAAAATTAACAACAATAACATATTCAGTGTAATACTCAAGTAGAGCCTGAGATCTGAAGAAGATAAAATATACGCAAACTAGTCTAACGTTATACTAGTTTGGCTGTGAACTTAATATAACCCTCTTATCAAAACTTATAGTCTAACGTTAATACATTAATCGAAGGGTGGTCAGTTAAACATATTTATCGAAAATATACATATATAAAATTACTTGTTTTCAACTTACATAAAATGCAACCACCACTCCAGCAGTGTAATCTTCTGGTAATTTAATAGAAGCACTGAATAAGCCATGAAGGTACAAGTCTTGTGACACAAATCCAGCTCCTGCACATTAACCCATTAATTTCCAAATGAATAAATTCCATCAAAATAAAGTAAATATATTTTGACTTGACATAATATTTTAAAATTTATAATTTTAAATATATTGTAACAATCATGTAAAACTAAAATAATTTTAAAATATGTGATCTTAAATATACACTAATATATCTTTCAATATAAAAAGTTCTGTTCCATATTAACTGAATTTACGAAGCAATACACATATTAAAAATCAAGTATGTTATTTAAAAAAATCATAATTTTCACTATGCCCTTGTGAAATCATAAATATAACTTTATAGTGTAACTTATCTCCTTGAATATATAAAACTTTAATAAATAAAAGGACGAATATAAAAAGAAAATTCAAATACCTATCTAGAACGTTGAACAATTTAATTATTTTTAACTCATAAACTTCAATTCTTGACTCCGTTTCGAACGTAAATAGTGTCAAATAAGTGAAAAAATAAAATAAAATATGAACCTGTTCTTTCATCTAGAGAAATATGAACTGATTTTCCATCTTGAATGACCATAAGATTATCATGACCAAAAAGTTGTGAATATCCTTCATTAAACGACGACGTTTCGAGATTTTCTGAAAATCCAGAAACTAATACAACAACATAGCAAAATATAAAAATTTCCAGAAGAAAATTCACCATTTTTTGTAATTATTTTTTTAAAAAAAGGGAAGTTGAAGCTTATTATAAAGTTTTGTGAGTATTTATTTAATTTTTTTTTTGTAGTGTCGTATAATATAAGCAAAAGAGAGAGGGGAAAAAGTGTTTTTATGAGCTGTATATTGTTCATATAATATGGACAAATAAATCAGTTGGAATTTGGGAAAAGAGAAACGACAAAATATATATATATATATATAAAAAAGGAGTTATTATTATTATTATTATTTTTTTCAAATTTAGTGGCTTGTGATAAAAGAAGGGAAAAATATAAGTAAATGGATAATAATATACACACGGTACATATATATACACGAGACAAAAGAAACTAAAAAAAGAATAAATTTCCTTTTATGTGGTTTGTTTTGATTGGAGAGAAATGATACGAAATATTTTATTTTTCTTATTGTAATAACTTTTTAATTTTAATATATCAGGTCGTAAATTTCAGATTTTTTAAAAGTTTTTCGCTAAGTAAAGAGCGGACAAATAAATTAAGACGGAAGAAGTAAGCGAAATCATGCTTTAGATTTCTTTTAAAAGCAGTTTTCACATATAACAAACACAAAAATCATATTTGTATATTACAACTATGTTACGTAATTGCGCTACATAGCAAACATAAATATGTATATTTCGATATATATATAATATATATATATATATAAAATAAAATAGTTGTTTATAAACTGTTTCTGTTTCGGTATAACTTGTGTTTGTGTAAAATGAGAAAGCGTAAAAGACAAAAGAAAACTAGGCATAAGAATATTTGTATTGTATAATTATAAGTGTATAGGACAAAGATGTATATATTTCCATGTGTATATACATTTTCTCTCGCTTTATACAAACGAAAACACAATTTATACATTTCTTTTCTGTTTGTATAAGTGAGAGAAGCAAGCGAGATCTGAGAGAGGGAACGAAAATATATGTATATATACAACTTTTTCTCGCTTTATATAAATACAAACGCATTTCATACATTTACATTTGTATGAAAAAAAAGAGAGGCAAACGAGAGAACGACAATGACGAGTGAGATTCACACCCGAAAAAAGATGAAATATCAAAAGTTTATTGTGGGGTATAACTAAATTGAACTATTTTTTTTTTAAAAATGTAGTTTATCTATCCTCGTTACAGTAAGAGAGCATCAGAAAAATTAAGAATATATTTTTATTGATGTAATAATTTGTTAATAATTAGTCCTATTATTTTATTATTTTGAATAAATAGAAACTGAATATAGACATTTGTAAATCAAGCTCCGAGTACATAATTGATGGTCCAAAAAAAGTGTAAAAAGTCAATTTGTTCAAGCCATAATTTAGCACACAAGTAAAGAATAAAGTTTTACCAGAAGAATAATAAATGTAAATGTTGACTTTTGTACTCATAAAATAAAAAATAGTGCTAGTAATATCTCATAAAAATAAAAAATAGTGCTAGTAATATTCTTCCCACTTTTCGTTCTTATGAGTATTTTTTTTTATTATTATAAGATGCTACTATTATTACAAACGCAAAGCTAATCTTTAACGGTGTGTTTGATACTTAAAAAATATATTGAAACAACTTTCATAGGAAAAATATTTTAGTTTTATAATTTTAAATTAAAAATATATTAATATATTAAATGTTTTTTAGTTCAGTAGTTTTAAAATATACCAGATCAAAAGTTAAAATTAAAAAGTTATTAAAAAAATAAAAAGCATTTAAAAATAAATTTTAAAAAAATAGAACAAACAAATTTAAGTGTAAAAAAGATGACATGTTATTCGTAAAAATTCGTTTTTTCTACATAAATTAATTTTTTTTGCAAAATTTCCCAAAAATATGGAGATTGACATGTGGCACATTACAAAAGAAATACAAATGACGTGGCATTTTGATTTCCATATCATCACTACACTTGGCATAATGTATTTGAAGAAAAAGGGAAACAAATTAACCTTTTATTCAATGATTCACATGAAAAATAATTCTATAACAATCCTCAGACATAATAATATTTATCATAACGATCAATTTTCTTTTGTTACTTCTGTTGATCCAATTTATTTGTGTATTTTCTTTAATGTTCTTTTAAAAGGAAAAAAGATTGATCGAAGAAGTATTGAAAAGAGGTGATTAGATATTATAAGATATAAATTTATAGTTATCGAAGACATGACTCTAGATAAAAATGAGTGAAGGTTATGTATTAGTGTAAGGGATAATAGTCGTAGTCTTGTAGTTTTTGTCATATGCGATTTATTATATTTTCGATTATTTAACTATTTGATGTTTGTTAGTATTCATTTCTCGTAGACTTTTCGTTGCTTTTCTTATACTATGCTTTCTTCATTGTTTCTTATTTTTCAATTTGAATTTGATACGCTCGAGCCGTGGCAGAACCACGTTATAGTCACGCGGTTCATTAGAACATTTTTCAACGAAAAATTATATCATTTATACATAGTTAAATTATTATTTTTTTAGATATATATTATCATAGATGTCGAACGTCCCCCTTTGACTACTTCTTGTCTGTTTCTTCAAATTTTAAACTTCCTTATCAAAAATTCTGATTTCTCAAAGACTTGATTACTCTTAAATATAAATTTTTCGGAAATAATTTCTCTTTCTTCACGGGATAGTAATAAAGCTTATCTACACTGCTATTTTTTCCAGACTTCACATAGCAAAATTTTAATAAATATATTATTATTATGGTTCTCATTGATTAACTCTATTATCTTTTTCATTATATTAATCTCAAATCGCTTTTATTAAGTAAAAAAATAAATATAAACTAATACTTATAAAAAATATATAAGAATTAATTATAAGATATCCCACCGAAAGTGCAATGAAACGAAAATTATAAAAGAGGAAAAAATGTTTGCAATATGGTAGGGTTCTATCTACACATTCATTTCACCTAACTCCATTTTAATTTCTTTTTTATTCTAAAACCAAAGTACTTTTGTTCCTTTTCTGTAGGCCCTTTTAATTATCTTTTCAAAGACAACTATAAATCACAAAAACTATTATTTAAATAATTTGAAGATGGTTTTATATTGATTGTATATATTTCTCTATCTGTTTTTAATTATAAATTTTGATTCGAGTTTTAGAAATAATGGAAGTATTTATAAGAGTATTTTCTCTCTCTATATATAGACGAACTAGATATGATATAAATTTTGATTCGAGCTTTAGAAATAATGGAAGTATTTATAAGAGTATTGTAATGACCCGAAGGTCATTTTCAAAAATTTATTCAAAATTTTAATTTTTACCCATCTCGGTAGTTGCCTTGAGTCAATTTTTATCAAATTGTGAAGTTGATTTGAAAATTTTGAGCTATTTATAATTACGATAGTTTAGTAGAGGGGTGATTTTAAATAATTAATGTTATTTGGGAGCTAATGATATTAATTCATTATTTATTTAATATATTACTTGGCTCAAAAACATTAAAATAAGGAAATAAAATAGTAGGGTTTAACATTTTAGTCCACAATTTAAAAGAGGAAAAAAAGATTGTACGAGAGAGGCACAATCGGCGCAGCAAGAAAAACACTTCGTGCTTCAGGTAAATTTCAGATCACATTCTTATAATGTAAAGTAATTGCCAAGAGTAGCAGTACACATTAATATAATATTATTTATTTAAGAAAGAATCATGTATGTGGTTGTTTAGAAAAAATGTCGGCCAAAACAAGCCTATTGTAGTTAATTATGATTATTATTTAATGAATTTGAGGTTCCAATAATGAGCTAGTCATTTGAAACTTAAGATTTTGATAAGTTTTGGACAATGTGGGTATGTTTATGTATATTGAATCATTACTGGGTTACTGCTAGTTGAATTCATGTTGGGTTGGAATTATTCTTATAGTTATTCTATCATAATTTAAGTTTGAGCATATTGAGATAGGTAATTAAATATTAAGTATAGTATACTATAATATATGTTATTCGGAGAATTAAGATTTAACCCTAAACTTGAAATTCAGAAAATATGAGATTTGATCAATTGGTTGGAATAAAGATTTAGAAATTTTATTATAAATTCGGATGAGTTTTGGGTCTAAGCTAGATATATAGCAATATGAATGTTGTTAGTTTCGAAATTATATCGTGGTTATTTATGTGAATAGATTTTATTGGTTTGGAAGTCAACCAAAAGAGGAAGGCTCAAGTTTTGGAGTCATTGTTCGACTATTTGAGGCAAGTGGATTTCTAAACTCTTGTTAAGTGTATGAAATGCGTGTATTTTCTTGTGGTATATGTTTGTGAGTAACGAGATTTGGATTATGAGTTGGCTTGTCCACCTTGATTAATTTTAATGATGAAAACAAAGGGTAATAAAAGGCAATGTGAATAATTGGTTGTGTGTGATGTGTTGATAATGGAGAATGGTTTGAAAGGCTTTTTGAATCATTATTGTTGTGAATTGTGCAATGTTATGAAAATGGTGATATCCTCTTATTTGTGTGAACATGTCATTTGAATTATTTTGAGACATGATTGTGAAAAGTGTTATGTGCATTGAGAAAGAATGAGAACTTAAAGAGGATGTATCATTTCGAGGGACGTATCGCGCGCCGCGATGGATACTATATTTCGAGGGACGTATCGCGCGCCGCGATGGATACTATATTTCGAGGGACGTATCGCGCGCCGCGATGGTTACTATTATCGAGGATCGTGTCGTGCGCCGCGACAGATGCATGGACAGATATGTCCCCCATGGGTCCCGGACTGAGAGACAGCAGGTGTGTATCAGTAGGTCAGACATGCATCATTATACTTGACATTGCATTACACATACTTATCATTGGTGAACTTGATATTGTGTTTTGCTGATCTTGTGATTGCCTTTCTGCGGAATTTGTGATTGATAATACTGAGCTTGTTATTGAGGATATGTAATTTGATAAAGTGTGATTGTGGAAGATATATATGTAATTTGTATAAATGTTGTTGTAAAGTACGTGC